GATTTGGCATTCTACTTTCTCAGAATTCCAAATATTTGAAATAGGGCTTGAAGAATATTCTTCATCTCATCCAAACTCCTGGGCTCTTAGATCTTGATGAATACAAAGTGAACCTCATAAGTTAGATTACCATGTAGAAACGAATATCCAAACTCTCTTTCAACATGATTTCAATTCTTCTACTTTTAGCTGGATAGAATGTACGTGAAACAACAAACCTTCTGATACAGAAGGAAGAAAACCTTCCTTCTGTTGCTTTTTCTATCCTCCAAGATTCCATTCCTTTCCTGATTTGTGTCTTATCACCAAAGCTGTGGGAATATTAAGCCTGTAAGGAAGCTTGCACATACAGCACCTATGCCAACTTCTTAACTTATACCTAGTTGGAGGACAATGATAGAAATTCTGACTCTTTAAAGGAAATTCCATAACAGATTAAAATAATGAATGTAACGCATTTGCAAATAACAAGTCAAGTACCTCACTACCCATTATCAATACAGTATGGAAAGAGGGGATATTATGGCATGCATGAGAGAGGTTATGAGCCAAATACACTCTTCTTCAAATCCCGGTAACTGAAAAATGTCAGTAAGTATAACAGTGTAGACCTTTTAGGATTTCAGCTCCAACTAAACTGATCTGACTCATGTGGACTGAAGTTTTGGCAGAAGTGGGATTGTCTAATCTACACACCACCGACTAAAGCCATTTTAAATCATGATGTATCTGTGCTTACATCATTGCCAAAGTGATTAATCTGTGCAGGATATATTCTTATTGCCAGAGATGTCATGTGGCATCTTGGCTAGAAATACACAGTCACATCCCATTATGGTGAGCTCTAAAAGTTTATCCAAATTGTTTCCTAGTCTGGAATTTTGTCAGGTTAATATTGCTCGACATACATGGTCTTGAAATTTTCCATTCTAAATCTACTGCAATTTTGGCATTTAACTGGATTTGGCCTTATGTGACCAGCATCAGACTGAGAATGTTTAGTTTGTTGAATTTTAAATCTATAATGTTTATTGCATTATATACCTATTGTTGGCCAAGGAAACGTCTGCATTCAAGACTTTTTCCTAAGATGTATTTCCTTCTAAATGAGGGCATATACGTTTTTATTTTATTTGATATTTTAACTGTATGACTTAGTAAATCAGGAAGTTTTTCTTAAAGCTGCTTAGTTTATGCATAGTCATTTTATGTTATAGACAGGCAAATTTAAAAACTGGACAAGAGGCTTATTGACTTGTGCAAAACCCTTAGCACTGCATTTCATAGTGGCCATTTCAAATTTATTGATATTTTAGAACTGGTCATCAAAAATCTAGAATTAAATACTGGCCCTGGATGCAGCAACATTTATGAACCTGCTCTTGCTTATATTTCATTTTCAGATCAAACTCTAAGAATGAATACTTTATCTGAGAAATACAGAGGGCCAATCATCCTAAATCCAGGGGCTGTTAGCTTTATGAGCATATTAGGCACCCATTACATCATGCACAGTAATTATTGCAAATGGGCCTTAGCTACGAAAATGTGTAGCTTCCTTTCATGTTGTGACTAAGTAATTTGAGTTCTCTTTGGGCTGAAAATGTACAGAAAGGTTGCACATTGATTGTCAGCAGGGAAAACTGCCATCAAATCAATGCATGTAACATTCCTTACAAATTGCAAACAAGGGAATATTGGGCACCTGCAGCGCTTGGTCTCTTCCGCTGCAAATACCAGATTTTGCTGAACTAAACTCTGACGCAAAGTTCAGTGATTTGGTCTCTGTGGATCTGGGGCACTACTATTTCTGGCTTTGTTTTTCAGACAGCTAACAAATACTTAATCTAATTTTTTGCAAGTTTTATAAATTGCAATAAATGTTTATTTCAATGGAATTATTTTTAAGAAAGTGCAAAGATTTTGTAATTTTATTTCACTTAATTTTAAGAAATGTTTGATACTGTAATTTCATTTGACTTAATGTAATTAAAGAAATTTGAAATACTACTATTGTATTTTACTTAAAAATTCACCTGAAGAAGCTTTAGATACTGTCATTTTATTTTGTGGTTGCGTATTGTCAAGTTGATTCTGACTCATAATGACTGACACTATAGTTTTCTACTCTTTACTGGAAAAAGTTGGCAGGTCTTTTCTCTTGTGGAGCCAGTGGGTGGGTTTGAACTATCAACCTTTTGGTTAGTAGTCGAATGAAAAATGAAAAGCTAAATAGATAGGTGTATGTAGGAATCCTGGTGTGGCACTGTGGGTTAATGTGTCAGACTGCAAAGCAATTTGAACTGCAAGGTTGGTGGTTCAAGCTCACTAGCCGCTCCTCAGAAACCCCATACAGGGTCGCTATGGGTTGGAACTGACTCGACGGCACTTAACAACAACAACATATATATGTACACGAAGGGGCTTCAAAAGTTCATAGAAAAATGGAATGAAAAGCAGAACTATATGGTGTCTGACTACCACTGCCAACATGCTCTGAAAGGGATCACATTAGAAGGTCCTGAATAGATTGGGAGAAAATGTGGAACAAATCTCAAAATCATATAAAAGACCAGGCTGACTGGTTGGACAGAGACTGGTGGAACGTCTACTCTCTCTTCAAATCTAGAAATAAACTCATCCCCGTGACTCACTATTCCGCCCAACAACAGAAAAGTCCAGTAGGAAAACAATAACACTAGGAGGTACATACACCTTAGAATGAGCCTTTGGGATGAAAATGGCAGCATTTCCCCAAGGACAAAGTTCAGAAGGGGTAGGAAAGGAAACAGGAAACACAGGGCGGAAGTGGGATAGGTGGTATTACATGGTGGGAATTGCAATCAATGCCATGAAACAAAACATGTGTGAATTGTTGAATGGAAAACCGATCTGCTCTGTAAACATTCACCCAATTCAAAAAAGCTAAAAAGAAAAAAGAAGGTTGATCTGAAAAGACTAAATAAAGAAAACCCATTGGGAGAAAAAAAGATAATGAAATTTTCCCAGGAATTTTTTGAAGCCCCCCTGGTACATATATATATCTGCATATGAATATCCCTAAAGCAATGATGTGACTAATCCTGAGCAAAGCATCTTAATTTAAAACTTGACCTGGTAGAAGCCATTAATACCCAGTCAACTCACTCTGTGAGGAAACTCCTGTAATCCATCATGGACCCACACTCTCTGGAGTTATTTTAGATGCAAATTATGCTGCTTTCTTAACAGACTGATCACAGCAGTGATGAGTCCATTGATCTGGTCAATTCACAAAAGTTACTGCTGCGTGCCGACGAGTCAGCTCTGACTCATAGCAACCCTATATAGGGGTTTCAAAGCTACATGTCTGTATAAGAACAGAAAACCTTATCTTTCTCCCATGGAGCAGCTGGTGGACTTGAACTTCTGACCTCGCAGTTACAAGCCCAACACATAACCCATGATACTACCAGGGATCCTTACAAAAGCGCCTAGCTTATTGACAAGATTTCAATTCCTGCCAGCTGCAGAGCGCCCAGGGGAGAAGGGATTTCTGCAGTCTTGCAGCCCCACTAGGCCTACTTATGATTGAACTATAACACAGCTGAGGTTTCCAGCGTCAATGCATTACTTTTCTACTACTCCGAAACAGGGCACAAGGCATACTAATGACTCAACCGTAGTTATTTCTCAGTCAGCTAAAAATGCAACTTCATTTGTCATTTTAGTATCTGATTCCAAATGACATTTTAATTTTGCTAACGGAAATGATGAAAAGTTGCCACAGAAAAAGTGTGGCGGCGGGGGACTGTTTTAGTCCCTGGCTCACATCGGGCTTACTGCACATGCCACCTTCCTTACCAGATGAACGAACAGAGGAAGCAGTACTGTTGTGAGCAGTATGGTCTTGTTTCGAGCATTCCCTCTATCAGGGAATCCCTGTCAGAGACACCTTTACCTTCAAACATTTTCCTGAGTTCATAGCAAAAACAAGAAAAAGCATGTTATCTTCTTCTTTCAAATGCCTTGTACAGTCACCTCCTTTTGTGTGCGTTCACTTCGTCCTACCATTAAAATGGGGGAACTGAGGGTAGTAGACACTTTCAATGCCCAACTCATGTGTCCTCCCCCTCAGTACTACTGAGGCTTCTGCCTACAAATAGCTGTCAGCCTGAGGAGTGTGCAGTCTTCCTTCGAAGTGCTGGGGAGCTAACATCCCTGGGGAACGGCCCTGAAGGAGTTACATTCAGGGTTTCCTCACTTGCTGTGTGTGGGGTGCCTCTCTGAGGTGTGTTCTACTCTGTCTTCTTGACTTCTAAAGGACCCCAGTGGGACTGAGTCCCAGGTACCCAGAGCAGTCCCCTGCTCATTAATAGCCTGGATTGTCTTCTTTCCCACCTCACTACCTCATTCCCACTCTGGTGCTTCCTAGGTTCACCTCCCAGATCAACTACGTACAGTCAAAGCCTTGTCTCAGGCCCTGCTGCTGAAGAAGCCCAACTTAAGGCACTGGGGCACAGGACAGATTGCCGCGGTTACGTGCCTTTGAGTTGATTTTCAACTCCTAGTGACTCCATGTGACCTAGTAGAACTGTCTCATAGGGGTTTCTAGGCTGTAACCTTTACATGAGCAGATCTCCGTGTCCTTTTTCCACGGAGCTGCTGGGTGGGTTCGAACCTCCAACCTTTCAGTTAGCAGCCAAGCACTTTACTGTTGCATCACCAGGGTTACTTCAGAACAGTAACCATACAACCAGGGTTATGGCAGCACAGCTAAGTACCATACACCTACTTAGAGGAGAACCAGGGCTGGAAGCCAGGACTTTGAACTTCTGGTACATTTACCAGATTAGGTTGCTTCTTGCTGATGATGAGCACTTTACAGAATTGCTCCCAGGACTTCTGGGCAAAATGAAGACACTATAAATGAAACAAAGTTGTTAGAGGGCTAGACCTTGCCTTTTAGGAACCCAGCCACCATCACAGGAGGAAACAGAGAAATGAAGTGTGGTAATTACCTAGCATGATGAAAGGGACTCCCAGGAAAGTGGAATTGTATTTCCCACCAGTGAGATTGATGATCCCGGCTGCGGTGAGAGTGGCCAGGCTTATGGTCACCAAGCCAAGCAGGCCTAACCAGGGTTTGCTGCGGACGCAGTCCTGCATAGAGCAGCAGAGGATGGCCATGGTGACCACCAGGATCAGGCTGGTGACCAGATACCGTTCCGACACACGGCTGGTCTTCTGGAAATCTTCCCTCAGGGATGAGGACGTGTAAGGGTACATTTTGACTTTGCTGTTGGATTTCTGGAAGAGTCGGACAGTGTCACAGAAGCTGGACTCCCACCTCTCAGCCACCATGTCATTGAGAGAGTTGATTGACTGCAGGTAGTAGGTGAGCTGGACGGCCTCGGCGGATTTGACCCGGTCCTTGCTGTGCACGGTGACTCCCCCGAGCTGGTGCCCATTGTATACTGCCCTCCCATCCTTTAAGTGAGTGATCGGGTATGTGATGGCAAAATTGGTCCGGTTGGTGGCCCGAGCATTCTTTAGCTCCTCCAGGACATGCACTATGTCATCCACGATGCAAGTCTTATCGTTATTCAGGATACATATGTGGGCGAACGTGTAATTAAAACCAGGCCTTGGAACCTGGATTCTGGTCACAGCAGCATGCAACTATGGGAGGGAAAAATGCAATCAGTGTTTATTACCAAAAGAAGAGAAGGCATTAATAAGTGACATTTAGCTCTGTGGACTCAAACATTTCTTTTTATTATTTTAGAATCATAACATTCGATCACGTAAGTAGGGATGCAGTCATGCGCTTAGCAGCAGCAGCATCAGAACCTGGGAGTTAGAAATCAAGATTCTCTCTGTCCACCCCCCCCCACCCCGATCTAGGAAATAAAAATCTCTATGAATGGGACCTAGGGATCATCCAGGTGATTCTGACACAGCAAAAGTTTGAGAAGTGTTGCATTAAAATGCCAGCATTATTTCCACATGTATTGTGACCCAACTGGTCCATAAACTCTCAAAATTTTACATAGGTCTGCTGTTAGTCTTGAGGATATAATTTAAAAAGTGATTTTTTTTTTTTTTTAAGGAGCAATTCTGAGTGCAGAGGTCCTCAGCAGGCTAGTCCCTTGCTGCTGATTTACAGGGTGGCTAAATAATCTCATCTGATTCCATCACTGTGCATCATAAAAGACAAGACGTTCATCTTGAGAACACTCATATTCTCTGATTTCTTTGCCTACATATATGGGCAGGGAGTTGTAACCATAGGAAACTGACATGGGAATCATACTAAAGGAGCACAGTGGGGTTCATTCGGTAGACTTTACCCTGAGTCAAATCTGCTGTGCCCAAGTCCTGAACACCTGTAACCAAAGTGCACATGAGAAGGCAAGCACATAAATGTTTAACAACCCACGCTAGAAGTCAGGCACAGTGCTAGGCCCTCTAGACAGATCAACTCATTGAATCCTTAAAACGTCTACAAAGTACTGGCCTCATTTTAGAGGAAGAACGTGAGACACGGATAAGTGAAGTCACTTGCCAAAGGTCAAACACACAGTAAGAGGCAGAGGTAGGGTACACCAGAACCTGGCTCCAAAACCTGTGGTCTTAGGCCTTCACCATGGTTGGTACTGAATGAAGGTTACTGATAGTAATTTCCTGAATTTGTGCTTCTTTCTGCCCTAACAATGACAAGTGTTCAAGTGCAGATATAAGAGATGAAAAGGTGGTGGGGATGTCTGCAGGAGTAAGGGATTTAGCGACGTTTGAGGGCTTCACATCTTAAATCCTCAACAATTCATTTTATAGACGAGAAAGCTGAGGTTCAGGGAGGCCATGCAGCTAGGTAGGGCTAATTGTTCTGTCTTTTTAAATAGCATCATGTTACCATATCAGACTTGCAGTTGGGTGGTAAATAAATGCGTGCCTAGCATTGAGTGAGCTCTCATGGAAACAAAAGTATTGCTGTGTGCTCTGAGAAACAAAGAACAGTTCATACATAAAGGAAATAAAGCTTTTTAAGTCCAGAGAGTTGCCCTACTGTGCCTATGCTATTATAACCGTCTGGGCATCTCTATAACCCAGATATTTTTTCTCTTAAATCTGTCCTGGCTGGGTTATTTGTTAGGATATTTTGCTGTGTATGTGCCAGGGTAGGTGGGGCATTTATTATGCTTTTTGAAATTGTCTGAGGGCCACCAGCTGTCGAAGCCTTTTAGTTAGCCCCCCCACCCCCATCCCACATCTCCTCGTGGGCTGTCCAACACTTAAGTTCAGGAAACTGTTCGGATAGGTAGGCAGGTTGTCGTTTGGTGCCGTCGAGTGTTTTGAGCCAACCCTCTAGCAAGATGAGGTAGGTAGGTATGTAAATAGAAAGATACATAGATAGATTTACTATTGTTAAGTGCCATCAAATAGGTTCCAACTCCCAGCAACTCTGTATAGGGTTTTCGAGGACTAGCTTTTGAGTCAGGACCACTGACCTTGCAGTTCAAAATGACCTTGGAGTCCAGTGTTTATCCTAATATAGATAGGTATTCCTATATCTATCTATCTACGAGTAGATGAACATACTTGGTCTCCCAGAAATAACTAGAAAGCTATTTTCACAGAAATACAACCATATGCTAAATTTTTGTTTCAACGCTTTAGGATTAATGACGAGCAAAATGTCTTCAATGGATTTAAGCTGTGAAAGTGTATTTTTCATCCATTCTTCTGTAATCAGGACCCAGTAAAGTTTGATTAAAGGAATGCCTAAATAATAAAATAAAAGTTTATTTTGGAGGAAAGAGAAACCAAGAGGAATTTAAAGACAAGGGAGAATTGTGGTCAAAGCTAAGAGGCTTGGGGGAAAGCTTCAGAAAAGGCTAGAAAAGGAGTGGAATTGAAAGCATGCATATGTGGGTAATATTTAGTGCATTGTTTGTTTCCATGAACAGCGTAATAAATCACCCTTAGAGTGATTACTAAATACGTCACGAGAAAAAGATTGCCAAATAAGATGGTGTTAAGCCACAGGGCTGAACCCAATTATAGCAAGGGGAGATTTTCCGTTCATTCTCTAAGACTACCATGCCCTGTTGGGTGGGGAGTTGTAAACGACTTAGTGATCTTCTAGCTGTGTAGATTTAGTGCTTTGACCTTTGGGACCATATACCCAAGAAAGCGGACACCGTGTTAACTCTGGTACCAGTAGACCAGAGAAGGAAGGCTTGGAAAACAAGAAGCTTATTGAATTGAGAGAGAAGATTTCTTACCTCTCAGCAACAGAGCTGCTGCTATGAAGTGGTGGGTAGAACATGTGTCACTCTTGCTTCTGAGTGGCAGGGACATGCACAGTGACAAAGCAGTCAAAGAGGGGGTGTTGGCTAAGGTCACCCACCTGGCAGGGTGAGTCTGTAGGTTCTATTGTGTGGTAAGAGCTAGGAAGATAGCAAGAAGCATGGGAAAGGAAACTCAAGACTCCATCCCGTGGCTTCCAAAAGTTCAGTTCGGACTTTTGGTCCTTATAATTACATATCAAAGCACAAGTGTATACATGATCCACTTGGCCATGAACAGACATACTGAACATGCTTCTTGACATCAAAATGTATAGCATTTTAGAATGCCCTGCTTTACTTTCTTAATGAAACCCACTCAGATTAGTAGGAAAATGAGTAGTATTCCTAACTGTGATTCCAGATATATTCACAGGGGGAAAAGGAAACCAGAGATTGAAACAGCTTTTCAGACCATCCACAAAATGGACAACTTAAATCTGCACAAGCTTATTGCTGAGCTAGGTAGAAGACCCTCTTTTTAAGAAACGAAAAATTACACAAAATAATGGTCCTGACCCTTACAATAGTCTGAATCTATTATGTGAATCAATATGTAATCCATGTTTTCGCAACTATGTGGAGATTCTAGATTATACACTCAACACACATTCAGTAAGTGCTCATCAAATCTACTGTGTTGGCAATACTAGAATATTTCCCCCAGAATCTAGCATGCTTGCATTCACACAAAGAAAATCACTTAAGAGAGAAAATGTCCAAAACAACAGAATGATCTTAGCGGTAAACAATGCCAAGTGCTTTGTACCAGTAAAGCTTGATCCAATGCCAATTATACTCACAATATTTTCATTCTTACTGTATTTTCTGCCAAACAAGCCAGAACTAAATGTTAAAGTTAGAGTCATTCTAAGGCTCTGAATATACTATTATCAATTGCTAATTTAATTGTTCTCTTCTTCCTTCATGTTAACAATGATAATAATGATTGTTGTTAGGTGCCGTTGGTAACAATGCACAGCGAACCTCCGCACAACAGAACGAAACCCTGCCCGGTCCTGCGCTTGTGCCAATCCATGTCATTGGGGGTCTTCCCCTTTTTTGCTGACCCTCCACTTTACCAGGCACTGGTTCCTCTTGATAATATAGCTGAAGTATAGTTTTTAAGAATTTATTTTAATACAGAATCTATAGAAATGGCTAAATTATCACCCCCATTTTACAGGTAGAACTGAGGCCTAGAGAATTTAAATAAACCCCAAACCAAACTCGTTACTCTTGAGGTAATTCAGACTCGTGACAACCCCGTGTGTTAGAGTAGAACTGTGCTCTGTAGGATTTCCTTGACTGTAATCCTGGTGTACTGCTGTAGGTTAATGCGCTGCACTGCAAGGGCAGTTTGAATCCCAAGGTTGATGGTTCAAGCTCACCAGCTGCTCCTTGGTAACCCTATATAGGGTTACTATGAGTCTGAACTGCCTCAACGGCACTTAACAACAACAACAACAATCTCTAAGGAAGATTATCACCAAGTGGTCCTTTTGTGGAGCCACTGGTTGGGTTTGAATCGCTGAACTTTAGGTTAGTATAGGAGTGCAAACCATTTATGTCTCCCAGGAACCTGTAGCTTACTTAAAATGCCCCAGTCAGTAAAAGGCAGATGCAGGATTCTAACCCAGGTCTCACTCCACCAGGAGTGCTTGGGTTTAGGCAAACACAAGTTTAGGCCTGAGGATTTTCCGGGGAATAATGGAGAATTTGTTTCCATGTAGTGTGGTGGGTATGAATGAGTTGTTGGACTGCCATACTTGGCTATCTGGGGTCCAACAAGTGAGATTCCTACAGAATACAAACAGCCCAACGTCATCTTTAGAAGCCAACACAACATGGCCATATAAATAGGTGATGAAGGGTTTGGAGTTTACTGACTTTTGCTATTCTCCATTCAACCTCTGCAGTTGTCAAATAAAACTTTCCATAGACAGGCTTACCAAGAAAAAAGGTCATGGTATGTAGTAATAATACATTGGGGTTTAGATCTAGCTTCTGCTCCTACTTACGAGTGTCACAGACCCTCAGAATATCACTTTATTTCTTCAGGTCTCAGAAAAAAAGGGGGTTGGTCTAGCTAAAATTTAAAGACAGGCCCTTCTAGTTTTAGTACTTCATAATCTTAAAGTATGTGAATATCCACAAACAATGCAATCAAATCCTGAGTGAAAGTTAACTTCATAAATATCAACTTGAGAACTATCATATAGCTGCTTGAGGTATATACTTTTCCAACACACTACAATTCGTTTTAGGGTAATGACAAATCTGCTAGTAGATGAGACCCAGAAAGGAAACCATAGGGTACAGAAAATAGAT